GTTGTACGTGCCGTGGAGGGCGTCCCAAAGGTCGTCCATATCATGACAATGCTGATCGCCATTGTGAATAGCCTCACAGGGTGGTAGCTTACACTGTTTGACCCATTCCATCAGGTCCCACGGGCGCTTGCGAGAGGTAGCGATTTCTGCAATACATTCATCGAAGAAATCATTCTTAACTATGTTGTTGAGTGAGCAACTCAGCTGATATACTCTGAAGGTCTCCGAGCACTCGTCTGTCCACCAGGACTTGGAGCGCTTGGTAGGTTTGGACTCGGTCGCATGGGCAAGCCATGCGTCCGAGAACGCTGTCGCGATAGCATTGGCTAAAGCTTCAATGCCTTCCTTGGTTGTCAGGGCTGCGACAGGAATAGCCGCAAGATCCATCCAAAATGAGAGACTTTTCAGCCTCGCTCCTGGGTTTAATTGTCCGTCGCCCAGATCCAGGCAGTTCAGGACCGATATCAAGATCTGTGCAGATCAGGACATGATCTGACAGACCCTGGAGATCGTGCTCCAATCTGGGCATCGAGATTAAGATCTCAGATGGAGCTAAGAATACAAGATCCAACACGTTGGATCTCTGGTTTGGATTAGGACTGATCCTTGTCGGTCCATGGTTAGAAGGTCGTGCCCACTCGAGGCCGATCTGAGATGCGGTATCCCGCAGGGATATTGCCGTCGATGACTCGCCATGCTCATAGTCATCCCAAGTCGTCGACACGCAGTTGAAGTCACCAGCCATGTAAATGAAAGGTGGTAAAGAATGCACACGAGCAGCTAGGTGCTCAATGGCTGTGTGCTGATCGTCAGAGTAGACGTTCATTAGATTAAGAACCTCACCCCTGCTGAAGAGGGAGAGGACGAGGATGTCGCGACGCATAGCGGGACAATAGCGGGATAACCTAGTCGAAACGTAGGCGATCACGCGGGGAACCTCCCCTTCCTTAATGCGCACCATTTGCAGCCAGTCGGGATGCTTTGGTGCGCCGATAACCTCATTGCCCTCCATACTAGTGGTGGACGGTGCGTGTCTTATGAAATTCCAAGGCGTTTCTTGGAAGAATAAAATATCGAATTTTGTTTTACAAATTTCTAGAAGAGTATCGACGTGTGCATATGTATGACGAACGTTCTGACAAAAAATACGAAGCCCACTACTTAGATCCTGAAGGTTTCCCAACATTAGTCTAGGTTTGGGGGTTAGTAAGTTGGCGGCGAGCAGCATGCTCACATACCTGACAATACTCGGCTATGATCCACTCACGGTCATAGCGATGAGCCCAGAACTTGCACGAAGCCGAGTTGGCGGCGTGGTCCTTGTGGCAGTTGACACAGCGGCCCTTATGGGGGCAGGGCTGGTCGCGAGGGGTCGGCACATCGCTTTCACT